ATATATATATATATATATATGGAGTGATTCATTTAGTTTAAGAGTAACTTTTTATAGAGTTATTTGTCTCAATAACTTATAATCCAAAATGAATTTCAATGATCAAATTATTAAATTAAAGATTTTTATTATATAAATGAAGTGTACAAATTTTTGCAAAATTTAAAAATTATGTAATATTTTATTACATAAATTCAAAATGAAAGATACGCATAAAAATCATATAATACATGTTGAATTCTTAGTAGACTTTTGACTAAAATAATTGATTGATTAAACAAATTAATATTCATAAGTCTTTTTTCCTTAACAATTAATTCTTCATTTTGTTTTAGGCGAGACTAAAATCTGCTTATTGGCTAAAAATATTCTTTATATTTATACATTTTTCTTGAAAATGAAAAACGGATATATTATGGTTTTCAAAAATTTTCTAGAAAAATAACTTTATTAGATACGTTTATGTAAAAAAAATAATATTTAAGATAAATTTAAAAATAGTTTAATTAAGATAAATTATGATAAATTTTAAAAAATAATTGAATCAAATTTTAGGTTTATATAAGCTTAGTTGTAAAAGTTTCTTAAATTTCAATGTTACAAATATGTTGGTGCAATTTTTATATTCTTATACAAATTTTAGGTAAATATAATTTATTTTAAAAACTTTATGCAATTAATATTTTCATTTCCATTTTGTAATTATCATAAATTCATAATACATGGCTTAAATATACTTTTTCTTTTTATATTTTAATGAATTTACAATTTTGGTTTCATAATTTTTTTATAAATTTATTTTATTAGTTTTTAAAATAAAGTAATGTTGATTCACTATTAATATGTCATTTAAAATTAAATAAAAATACTAATATGTGCCTGTAAGTAATATTATCCGCGCCATTAGTTAACCACCTAGGAAAATAATATTATTAAAAATCAAAGTGTTTACTTTTAGTAGTATAAAAAAAACACTTTGTATCTTTATTATAAAAACAACATAATAAATAGATAATTATTGATCGAGTGAGTAATTACTATTTGGTATATAGACACTTTTTTTCTTGCTTTCTATTTAATTTTTTAAGAGATGTGCTAGTGAGAAAATATTGAAATAATAAGTCTTAATAAAAGTGGACATGAAAAGATAATGTCCCTTTCATATACTATATCAGTTAATGGGTCTTTGAACAGGTAGAGAGTGATACCGAAACAAAAGCACAATAATGCACATTGACATAAAGAGAAGCAACGATTGAGTGGTGATGAAGCTCAATATATATAGCTCATGCTCATGATCATGACATTCTCTACGTACATGTCATGGTGGATGCACCACTGCAGAGGGACCGTGTCAGATTTCTCTCTGGTTTTACCACGTGTTGCCATTTTTCCTTTTCATGACTCACAAAGTAAACGATGGTAACATATAACAGTTGCCATTAACGCTTTAATGGTTGAGAATCTCAAACCTTTGCTTTCAGATGCAACCACCCCAAAATAAGAAAGGAATCCTTCTTGCCACAGCCCACAGATGAAAAAGTTTGTGCCCTAGGCTTTCTATTTATCGTTGGATAATCATATTCAACTAGTGGAGAAAAGGTGCCCTAGCTAAATATAGAGATATCATAAGTGACTTAGTTGCCAGCTACTGTGATATCCATGTAGCAGAATGGACAATGCTTGAGAAAAAAGAATTTGGAAAGAAGAAAATTGTACGTGGTAGACGCTTAATGGACCATTTGATTTATTAAAAATTATGATATTGAAAAATATAAATGTAATTCTTCAATATTTGATACATAAAAAATTATAAAACATGGCAAATTAATAAGATGAGAAAAGACAAGACAAAAACCACTTTTGTAACCAATAAATTACGAGAAACTTTTTGTTCTAAACACAAATTACTCAAGAGACAAAAGGGTATCATTAAAATTGTAATGCTGATTAAGAAAATATTGTGTATACAATTTTGTTGTAGGAATTATAAATGCTATTGCGTTTTTATTTTTTCCAATATCAAAATTTTATATTAATTTGGGTTGTCATTACAAATATTATAAGTATTAGAGTTTGATTTCATTAATTTTTCTCGCACTTATTAATCAATTATAAATTAAGTTTCTAATCTTTGTTAATCAAATGATTTGCATTAAGATCATAGGTCTAAACATTAGCTAATAAATTTTATTAGGTTTCTTTAATTTTATAGTCTTCGATTTTAAAAATGTTTCCAACAACATTCTATTTTATGGATTAATTTAAAGGTAATCAAGTCAAAATAAACATCTAAGACAATGAAAAGGAAAAAGAAATGATTCACTGACACTAGTACAAAAGGGGTCTTTTACGTCGACTATTTTAAGGATTTTACGTCGGAAAAGACTTCGACGTTAATGCAGGAGACGTAAATTTACGTCGCACGTGAGAGACGATGTAAATTTACGTAGGACATGCCTTATGCCCGACGTAAAAAAGGCCTCAAATGTTAACAAATTGACGCCAGATTTCACGTCGGACTACACCATGTCCGACGTAAATTTACGTCGGACATGGTGTAGTCCGACGTAAAATCTGGCATTTTTTTTATAAATTTTTTTGATTTTTGATATACCCAAACTAAAACCTGCATATATAAACCAGACAGTCCAGTATACAAATTCAAATTATATTTCAAAATTGAATGACAAAAAGAAAATAATATATAAATCTTAAAAAGCATAAATTATGACAATGTAAATCTTATTATCCTAAAAAAGCTATAAAACATATGTTTGTCCATCAAACTAACTAAACTTAATATCTCACTAACTAAACTTAGAAATCTAACTAGAAACATAATATCTAACTAACTAAACCTAGAAATAATCTAACTATTGTATACTTTGAAGAAAAAAAAGTTGTCCATTGTTCTCTTATCTTGATGATCTCATCTTCGGGCAATGGGGATGGATCTTGAAAGACCTGAAACATTAATTTAAGTGTCATTAATATGCAATGTTAATTATCGTAAAGGTAAATATACTTAAATAAATTTTGATATGAATTACCTGCGCCCAAGAACCAGTAATACCCGCAGAAACTATGGCTCTCATCCAATACATGATGTAATAGTCACATTCAAACGAGTCTTGTTGCTTATTACACTAAAATGAGAAATAAATAACTATTATTTTCAAAGTCAATAAATTTAAATATTATTGCGTGTATTAATTAATTTGATAACCTTAGGGTATATGAAGTGCAATGTCTTTGATGATCTGCTTCTTCCACTTAAAATATTAGTTCCAGACACGATTCTAATTATTTGAAATAAAATCAGATGTTAGCCAATATATATAATTACAGTTTTAAAACATAATGAAAAATTTTAGTTACCCTTGTAATTGGCATTTAATTTCGTGGCTTGGTTTTCGATGTGGTGAACAAAACCACACCACGGTGTATTCCTTAGGAATGATTACCATTAACTGCCAATGGGACCTACATTGTATGACAAACAAATTAGTTATAAAATTACCATGATTAAAAAACTAATTAAAAAACTAACCCGTCAATGTATGGAGCCATGTATATATCTCTTCCTGATTCACTCATCCATGTTTGCATATATTGTTGGATGTGGACCTGAGTGTTTCCTGATTTTTGGATGGATTGAAGCTCAATAAATCCATATACTTGTGCTTGTGCTTGCTCCACACTCAATTTATCCACGTACCTAACATAAATAATCATTATAAGTTAAATGTAATTATTGTAAATTTAGACTCATAAAAGAAAATATGACTTTCATGGCCCACAGTTGTATGATAGATATATTTAACATGGAATTTTTCCCAACAATCTCTAATGCATCAGGCAGGGATATGTACAGTGGAACATCAGAGCTATCAACTCCAAAAACTCTAATGTCCCACTACAATTGAATTGGTCTCTTCCTTAATCGTGGTAATATGGATAGAAGCGTAGATATGGGATCATCCTCAACTTCTGCGATATTAGCATGATCAACATGAGGTTCTCTCATGACCTCCTTACCACGATTGATAAAATCCTAAAGAAATAATCAAAACTAGTTAAACAATAATAGAATTATAAGAATATAAAAGAGCAATAATATAATTACCTTTGCCCGTGCTGAAAGTGGCATGACCAAACGTTTTGGCCAAGCTAAGAATGTGCCGGTTGCCTGCCCCACTAGTTGAACCTCTGTATTGGGCAAAGGCACTGGAGCAGCAACATCTTGAACTTGGTCAACCACAACCCGTGTCCAGTCTGGCTGTAGAGGGACACCATGGATGGTTGAGCCACCCTCAAATACTCGGCCAATAGCCACTAACTGTGGGGGGTCATCCTCAACATATAACTCACACTGGTTTGGTAGATCAGTGTGAGTCTGTTCCCCCTGAGAGATCTGGAGCAGCACAACTCCCTTTAGTGCTGACACGAACACCATCATGAGCAATTGTAGTCTGTTGCTGAGAACGAGCCAAAAGTTCAAACTTCTGTTCAAACTCTTCTCGAATGTTCTTCAATTTTTCTTCAAACTGCATCTCCATTCTCTGCATAGCCTCTTGACTGCAAGAGTCAACAGTACTGCTCCTCGATGATCGTGCACCAAAGAAATCTTGGTGGCTCCAAGAACCCCAAACACCACGCACACGACCTACGTGCTCTGCCCTTCCTATGGCCGTTGTGAGGATATCATCCCGACCATGGGAAATAAATGAGCCCTGGGTGGTCTGCTCAACTAAACCCTCCTGCAACATATTAACAATAAGTATACCCTAAACTACACTTATGAATTAAATGAGTTGAAATGAAGAGTCTTAGTTTGTATATTTTTACTTACTATTTTATCAGCAACGACCCTTGCAGACTCAGAACTCATTTGCTCATTTGGTTTTGTTTGGACTGCTATCCACATCTCATGGCGGGGAGTTGACTCCACATGGTTAGCAGATTCAACCCCTGTTGCCTCTTCCCTAGCCTTCATCATTTTTTTTTATTAATTCATATCCCCCTCTTGACAATAGATGGGGTGCATCATTCTTGCTCTGCCGTTCTTGGACAGCTATTCTTTTGGCCTGTAATAATATAAAAAAGAAAATGAGATTAATTAAAATATACCTTAAGTATTTGTGTCATTGTAAGAATTATCAATAACTAACCTGCCAAGAAGGGTCCAATCGAGTGGCACGAAACTGCATCCACTCCTCGTCAGTGATCTGGTACTTTAGACATGGAGTCTCATTTTGTCGCTCTCCAAATACATACTCCCGTGTCAAGAAAGTCTTGAAGTCTCTCCACCTGGTGGCAAGGACAGATAACATCTTCCTCCTCATGACCTCAGTGTTGGGAATGTCAAAATTTTGCTATGAAAATAACAACAAATAATAAATAATGTATTTAAGTTATATAATATTGAAGGGATGTGAAAGTATATACCTGAATATCCTGCCACATGAGGTTCTTGTCAACCTCCTGAACGTCATCCCATAATGGAATGATAATAGAAACATGTCGTCGAGCTATGACTCCCAAATAGCTCTTAAACTTGGTAGCATTTAGGCTTGACGCCTTACCAGAACGAGGATCCACCTCAACCGGTGTCCTCTCCTTGGCAATGCGTCCAGCTGTCAACCCAGACAATCGGGTGACAAATCTGCCTTCCCTCCTTCCACTGCCAGTCCCCGAATCCTCCATAATCCTGAAAAAATTAAACTCTCATTATTAAAACAACGAATTAACTGAATAGACAAATAAAGTAAAAAAAGATAATAACAATATAGCAACAAAATGACTAATAAAAAAACAAATAATACACAAAACTTCTTTAATGCATTTGGAACGGCCCGTACTAAAACCAGAATGGGTCGTTCCAGATACACAATTAATACAGATTTATGCGTCTAGAACGGCCCGTACTAAAATCAGAACGGCCCGTTCCAGCTACAAAACTTTTGTGTTAATTGTTAATCTGGGACGGCCCGATCTGGTTCTGGAACGGCCCGTTCCAGATTAACATTTAACAAACAAAAAAATCAAGCAGAACGGGCCGTTCCAGATGAACATATAACAGAAAATAAACAAAATAATGCGTAGACAAAAGTTACCTCAAATATGGAATGTGCAAACTCTTAGAGGACTTAGACAAACGAGAAATGTGTGCAAACAAACAAACTTCGACACTTAGAGTAGAAGAACTTAGAGATGCTTTCATAAACAAGGGGCGCGCGGGAACGAGAATGAAAGGTTGGGCCATTATAGAGGCTAATTTACGTCGAACAGGGGGGGTCCGACATAAATTAGCCAATCTACGTCGGCTAAAAGAACTCTCCGACGTAGATTGTCTAATTTACGTCAGACCCCCATCTGTCCGACGTAAATTAGTCTCTCTATATTTACGATACTGCCGCCACGTTTTTATAACGTCGGGTTTTCTTATTTCTGACGTAAATTAGGTGACGTAAAAGCATATTTTTGCACTAGTGTGGATTAAAAATCCTAATAAACATTTAGAATGAGTACATAAAGACTATTGTAATTTAATATTTTTCTTGTTAATTACTTCATATATCTAGTGTAAAAAGGTTCAGGTATCCCTTGTATTTGTTTATTCTAATAATATTAGTTATTTACTGTAAAAAAAAAAATTAGAATGAGTACATAAGTTAGGTCAACTATGTAAATTTCCAATAATAGGTGAATTAGCCCTCACGAATAATCTAAGATACAAGTAGAATATGAGATTGAATTTTGAAATGTGTCCATAATGAATGTCTCTCTCTTCGAATAATATCATAAGTATTCAACTCTCTATCATGTCTTGCTTAAGGAACCAAGTTGGCGTGATTCACTCAAGCTGGTTTGCTCCTATGAAAACATTGGCTTCTGCACTAGAAAACTTCAGCTCTTTACAAAAACTTTTCCTTCTCTTTCATTTGTTGTAAATTTACAAGAAAAACACCAAAATTCTTTAACAATCTAAAACATTTAAGTATCAACTTATTTACTCCTAACCTTATACTCTGAGTAAACATAATTATAAAGCATAAGATATACTTAATACTTACCTAATATATATGTCTCCAAATATTATTCATATATGATGATTATTACCCTTATTTCCCTCCGTAATTGTTGCCTTTATTAACATTATTATTAATCATTACTGTCGTGAATTGCCGCTACCACTACATGTATTGTTGATCACATCACAACCATAATTTTCACTATCATTAATAATAATAATAATAATAAAAACAATAATAATAATAATAATAATAATAATAATATTATTATTATTATTATTATTATTATTATTATTATTATTAATGTGATTCTCCTACATTACCACTAGATCACTACTCTTATCAGAAGAATACGAATAAAGAGAATAGAGATTGAAAATTTTAATAAAATAATCGGTTACAATATACAGTTAAAGGATAAGATATTGTATGCGCTTTCTCATTTCTACCTCTTACATTCCACCAACAAAAGCAATGTTTACAATCTCTATTATTAAATTAATTATACTCTTTTTTCCTAATCATCATTATATAAAAGGAATAAAAGGAATAGTAATCTTAAGTGTGTGGTTTAGTGGTAAGGGTTGATCCACGTTTAAGTAAGGCTAGGGATTCGAATCTTACCTACTGTATGCAGCCACGTTAAATCTTGGAGTCAGTTATCCTACCCTTTAAAGTACCTCCAACGTTATTTTAGTAACAACTTTGAGTGTCTATATTTTGGTGAATCATCATATTTTTATTTTTCTATTGTATAATAATTTAGGTGTATACTTATTTAAAACATGTTATCCTTAACTTTTACTGAGTAACTGTATGGTCTTTTAAGTTGTAACTGGAAGAGAAAATTTTACCCTTATCTTTGACGTGTACTCTCATTATTATGGAACTTCTATTAACTTTTTTTTAATTAAATATATAGAAATACAAAGTGTTAATTTCTTTTCTCTCATATCAAAATAAAAGAATAATTATTGTAGAAGATCAAAAGAATTAATTTTAATTACGTATTTTTGCCAAAAATTTTTTTTTATAAAATTTAATCTCTACTAATTTTAATGTCATTTTTATTTAGTTGAATTCAAAGTAAATGATTTGGACTTGTTATGCATGGCAAGTGTAAGAATAATTTGTGTTCATAATCAGTTGTCGTATAGTAAATTTGATTAAAAATTCTCTCTATTTATTTTTTATTTTTATTACTAAAATTTTAAAAATATAAATGTTACTCTTTTTAAAATATGCATCAAAATTATTTTATTAACTTTTTAAAAAGTATTTAGAACATCAAAACAATAGAGAAAAAAAAAATGGAGAGGATAGAGTCCCCCACAGCTAACATAACTACGTATGAACCTTTCATGTGGAAACATCATTGCTTTTCCTAGCCCTTAAGACACAGCATCTAGGTATTGCTTTTCTTGTCCAATATTGATTGGACATTTTTTTTTAATCTAAGAATGGAAACATCATTTCTCATACCTCAATCTTATCATTTCAGACCTCCGTGCGTAGTCGTCAGCTATGGTTCTGGACTTCTGGTTCTGTGTGGTTGAGAGAAAAAAAAAAAAAAAAAAGAAATTGAGTGAATAGAAATAGAGAAAAGAGAAAAAAGTGAAATAATAAAAATAAAGAAAAATTTTAATTGTTTGATTGAAAGAAATAAGTGAAAAAATAATAATAAAGTAAAAATTTATGATATATTTGGATAAATTTTTTTAAAAATTTAAGAAATTTAAAATTCTTAAAATTTGAATTATTTTAATTTTAATTTTCATCATTCTTTAAATTTTTTATTTATATAAGTTAATTCAAAAATTTAAATTCTTAACTTCAATTGAGCAATTTAATTTTTACGATAAAATTCATTTTAAACAAATATATATATATATATATGTATATATATTAAAATTTTAAA